TTGTTAGACACCATAGAGTTGGTTCCAACTCATAGTGACCCCATGTACAACACAACTCAACACTGTCAGGTCCTGGGCCATCCTCACAATTGTTATGTTGGATACCATTGTTGCTGCCACTGTGCCAGTTCATCTCTTTGGGAGTCCTCCTCTTTTTTGATGACCCTCCAGTTTACCAAACATGATGTCCCTCTCCAGGGACGGATCCCCGATAATATGTCCAAAAAACCAGAGACAAAGAAATCTCACCATCCTCGCTTCTAAGGAACACGCTAGCTATACTTCTTCCAACACAGATTTGTTTTTCTGACAGCCCATGGTACTTTTAATATAAGAACTTTCTAATATTTTTGTAACTATTGTGGAAATGTGAAATAATTTTCAAAAATTAGAAAAGTTACTGAAATACAGTACAGAATTACTCTGAATTTCCTATTATGCAAAGAAAAAAGAAAACAAGATGGCTAAATGCCCATTGTCTATTAAAAGAAAGCATACACATCCAGGAGAGAAATATTTCCTTGAACCCGAGTTCACAGTAATTCCACAGTATATAAACACCAAAAAAAAATTAAATCACACTTCTCATGACGGTAAGATTGTATATTTAAGACAACTAGTAATTAATATTAGGTACACATTCAAAGTCTTATTCATTAGTGACACTCCCACCTTCTTCAAAACCAGGTTCTTCTCGAAGGAAGATTTACTAATAAACCAAAAGGAAAGATGAAAGAAAAGTTCAAGACTTCAGTTTCACTGTTGAGACGCTCTAAAGGTCTATTTGTGATATCAAAGGATCTTTGTCAATTGCAAAATACTATGATTACATGAAAAGAGGTATTGCAGAATTGTCTTTTCATTAACTCTACTACAATAAGGACATCATTTTCCATCCAGCCTAATTCCTTAGATACTTCAGGGAAAAAAAAAAAAAAACACACAAAAAACTATAGTCTTCTAGCAATCTGGCACCAGAACAGCTTTAAAAACAAATTATTGCCAGCCATGAACAAAGAACCAAATTTATCCAGCTTTTGATTGTCAAATAATCCAACAGTGCCACTCTGTGGACATACTAGGAAATTTTTAGTATCTATTTTCTTAGTCAATTTTTCAAAGTAAAATATTTGTATTTTTTGCATATAACATAATCACATTAAAAACAAGCAAATGAATAGGAAATTAGCAGAGAAGGGGTTGCGCAAAACTTATAATGCACGCTTCATTTGCATAAAAATATATCAATCTTGGAATCACCTTGAATCCTTTTTTTTTTTTTTTTTGAGTAACTCAGTATAAATAAGTAAACAGATAGTAGACATTCATTATATGTTTTTGTTGTTGTTAAATGCCGTCGAGTCAATTCCGACCCATAGTGACCCTATATAGGGTTTCCGAGGAGCAGGTGGTGAGCTTCAACCGCTGACCTTGCAGTTCAAACAGCTTTGCAGTCTGGCGCATTAACCCACAGCACCACACCAGGACTCCAGTCATTATATGAGGGGGATTCAAATGTTCATGGAAACAAGGAATTAAAAGATAATGGAATTTTTCCATGAATTTTTTAAGCCTCTTCATATTTCATTATAAATCTTAGAATAAATTATGGACTATGAAAATAACTTCAACATAGACATGCCAACTATGTCTTTGTTTCAAAATACATGAAAAAAATATGTTAATTATGAAAATTTACAGCAAGAATTTCAACAAACTTTATTGTTTAATATTTTAACCTTCATAATGATTGTTATTTAGAAGATAGATTAACGAAAATAAGATATGCCTGGTGTGACACTGTGGGATAAAGCATTAGGCCACAAGGGTTTGAATCACAAGGTCAGTGGTTCAAACTCACCAGTTGCTCCTTGGAAACCCTATACGGTAAACCCTATGAGTTGGAACTGACTGGACGGTGGCACTTAACAACAATAACGGGTACCTTACTTTCCCCTGTTGTTGTTGTGTGCTGTGGAGTCGATTCCGATTCATAGCGACCCTTGTACAGGGTTTCCAAGGCAGTAAATCTTTACGGGAGCAGAAAGCCTCATCTTTCTCTCACGGAACAGCTGGTAGTTTCGAACTGCTGACCTTGAGGTTTGCAGCCCGATTCGTAACCACTAACACTTAAAAATAAAAATCTTACCTAAATTAGGCCGATTTCACAAACTTACTAGATGGTCAAAATAATATGGACTTATGATACAGATTGTTGTTGTTAAAGTACCGTAGAGTCGACTCAAGAGATGAAAGCACTATACGCTTTAAAAACCCACTGCTACTGAGTTGATTCTGATTCACCTATAGGACAGAGTAGAATGGCCCCAAAGGGCTTCTGAGGCTGTACATGTTTATGCAAGCAGACTGCCTCATTGTTCTCTTGCAGAGCAGCTGGTGGGCTCCAACCACTGATCTTCTGATTAGCAGTCCAATGGTTAACACCCTGCACCATGAGAACTCCTTCTGTATTATTTAACCAAAACAAAACAAAAAACCCACGGCCATACGTCAATTTCAATTCATAGCAACCTTATATAAAGGTTCCAAGATTCAGAACGTTTATGGGAACAGAAAGCCACATCTTATCTTGCAAACCAGCTGCTGGGCTTGAACAGCAGACCTTGTGGTTGGTTCAATGTTTAATCCAAATACCACCAGGGCTTCTTTCTATACTATTTTAGTTGTCATTAATACCCATGTCCTTATGTATGTAAATTAACATTTTGTTTGTTAAGCTAAATTATATGTGAAGGGGCTTCAAAAAGTTCCTATAAATACTCCATTATCTTTTATTTCAATTTTCCACAAACTTTTTGAAGCTCCCAAATACAGTTTAATGATCTAACTTCAGAGATCAAGAAGCATAGCAGAATATGATCGAAATGTAAAGTAATCCAACTGCTTTGGAAAACTGATTTTCAGTTCTTCAGACTTTGCAGCATAATGGTTAAGTGCTCAGATGCTAACAGAAAGGCTGGTGATTTTAACCTACCCAGCAGCTCTGTGGGAGAAAGACCTCATCATCTGCTACTTAAAAAAAAAAAAAAGCCCAGAAAACCTTATGGGGCAGTTCTATTGAACATGGAATAGCTATGAATCAAAATCCACTTGACAGCACTTACCAACAATATAAACTTTCATCTACCAAATGACCTACTATTTACACTCTTAGGTACTGAGACACATTAAATGTAAACATATGTTCACAAAGAGACTTACACAAGCATGTTCATAACAACCAAAAACTTAAAATAACCCAAAGGAAAATGAGTAAACAAGTATGGATACTCATACAATGGAATGTTGTTAGCTACGGTCAAGTCGGTTCCAACTCAAAGCAATCCTATGCACAAACAAGGAAACACTGCCCAGTCCTGCATGGTCCTCACAATTGTTGTTAATCTTGAGGCCATTCCTGCTGCCACTGTACCAATCCATTTTGTTGGGGGGGGGTGTCTTCTTCTTTTTCACTGACCCTCCACTTTACCAAGTATAATGTTCTTTTCCAGGGACTGGTCCCTCCTGATAATATGCCCAAATTATGAGAGACTAAATCTCACTATCATGCTTTCCATGAAGCATTCTGGCTGTACTTTTTCCAACACAGACTTGTTTATTCTTCTGGCAGTCCATGGTACTTGCAATATTCTTCACTAACACCAAAACACAAATACATCAATTCTTCTATTATTTTCCGTATTCATTGTGCAACTTTCACATGCATGAGGCAAATTAAAATACCATGGCTTGAATCAGGTGCACCTTAGTCCTCAAACTGTTATTATTGCTCTTGAACATTTTAAAGAGGCTTTTAAATTTTAAAGTATGCATCAGATTTGCCTAATGCAATACATCATTGGATTTCTTAACTGGTGCTTACATGAATTATTGATGATGGATCCAAGCAAAATGAAGTCTTTGACAACTTCAATGTTTTCTCCACTTATCATAATGCTACTTATTGGTCCAGCTGTAAGGATTTTTGTTTTCTTTACATTGAGGTACAACTGATACTGAAGGCTGTTGGCTTTGATCTTCTATACAATGGAATATTTATTAGCAAATAATGGGAGCAGCAGTCAAGAAATCAAACGACACATTGCATTAGGCACTCTGCTGCAAAATAACACATTTTAAGTATTGAAGAGCAAATATGTCAGTCTGGGGACTAAGGAGTACCTGCCCCAAGCCACAGTATGTTCCATTGCATGTGAAAGTTGGACAATAAATGAGCATGGCCATAGAAAAATCGATTCACTTGAATATGGTGTTGGAGAAGAATATTGAAAGTACCATGGACTGCCAGAAGAACAAACAAATCTATCTCTGAAGTACACTAGAATGCTCCTTAGAAGAAAGAATGGTGAGACTTATCTCTTGTACTTTGGATATGTTGTCAGGCGGGACCAGTCTCTGGAGAAGGACAGTATGCTTGGTAAAGTGGAGGGTCAACGATAAAGAAGAAGACCCCAAGTGAGATAGTCTGACACAGTGGCAGCAACAATTGTCTCAAACATAACGATAATTGTAAGGATGGCACAGGACCAGTCAGTGTTTCAACACCAACTTGACAGCACCTAAGAACAACAGCAACAACAAATAATGGGAATCAAATATTGATACCAGTAACAAGAGCATTTAACAACAACAACAACCAGATGGGTCTCCAAAACATTATTCTAAGGAAAATAAATTGGAAACAAGAGTATATGCCACATGACTATAGTTGTATTAAGAAGAAGCAAAGCTAATCTAGGATGGAAAAACATCAAAATGGTAAATCCCCAGGGTGAAGTAGGATGAGGGATTACTGAGAAGAGGCATGAGGGAACTTTCTGGAGTGGTGGAAATATTTTTATCTTAAAGGGATGTGGACACACAAAATTTGTCAAAACTCATGAACTGTATACTTAAAATCTATACATTTCATAGTATAAAATTCACTCAGTTTAAAAAAATGTATTGCAGAATAAGGATTTTCACTATAATTTACAAACCATATAGTTTTGTCTTGGATCAGATGATCGTGTCCTTTTGTGCAATGGGCTAAGCTCCACTTCCTCTGAGTTGGGGCGATTTCTTTTCAAATTTGGTCTATAGTTCCTTTGTGATGCTTCTAGGTTACCTAAAGAGCAACATATATAAAAGTTACTACACATTACCACATAATGCTGTCAGTTCACATTGAACTCATAGTGACCTCATAGGGCAGAGGAGAACTGGCCCAGTTTCCAAGTCTGTAAAGCTTTAAGGAAGTAGACTGCCACAGCTTTCTCCCACATAATAACTGGTGGGTCTGAACCACCGACCCTCTTTTTAGCAGTTGAGCACTTAACCACTGTAACACCAAAGTTCCTTGATCTTAATCTTAATATAGCCATGCTCTCAGAATGCCACCTCAAATTGAACTGGAGGTGGTTGAATTTTAAAGAAAGAGTAAATAAAAATTCTTCCATTAGTGATTTAGAATAAGTCTTTAAAAATTGAAGGGCTACCTTGACCATTACTAAAAATATGAAGCAAAAGCAAACATAATTCAAAATGTAATGAATGCTTAACAACTTAAATTCTATAGTATAAAAGATGGAAAGAAATGAACAAAAGAGCATAATTGCTTACTGATTTTGGAAAGGATATCAGAAAGACTTTTTTTTTTTTAACCTATGGAGGCAGAGCACGTGAGGAAAAAACCCCAAAGAGACACAGGAGTCCATACTGGATTTGGCCCCTACCACCTACATGGACTAGACATAACACTTAAGACACCACTTCTTCCACCTGCTAGGTGAAAAGTGGCCGGGATTATCTCTATGGTCCATTCCAGCTCTAATATGATTGCTTAACTTGTCAAATCTTATCATAAGCCAAAATAATGAAATATATGCCAAAATATCTAGAGTTGTGTAGGTTCAGTTATGGTTCAAAGTTATTTATATTAGAAAACTATGGAACAAGAAAAAGACATTGACTGCAACGCTATCAGACTTTATCTTGAATTAAGAGGTTTGAACACTTACATTAGAGGTAGGGAAAGGGGTCCACAAATGAAAGAATGAATTCATTTTATCGCCCCTGAACCAGAGTAGTAATGAGAGGTAAAATTATGTGATGCAAATATTATTCCTTTTTCTATTAGCCATCTCAATCTACAAGAGATATTCATTATCAAGAGCCCCAAAGAGAGAAAGAAACAAAAGGAGAGAAAGAAGATAAATTCAGACTAATATTGTATAAAATTTTCAGGTTACAAAATACTTTCCATTTGAGCCATAACTTCAACCAAATTTTTTATCTTTTGAACTGTTTATTACTTTGTAATTATAAAACTAATAAAATCCGTGAATAATAAAATTGTGCATTCCTACATAGGAATAATACACAGATTTGAAAATAAACTATTGCTACATACAAGGATGAGTCTGGTATGGCACTGTGGGTTAATGCGCCTGACTGCAAAGTCGCTCTGAACTGCCAGGTCAGCAGTTCAAGCTCACGGGCCACTCCTTAGAAACAGGGTCTCTATGGGTCGGAACTAACTCGATGGTACTTAACAACAACAACATACCAGGATGATTCTCAAGTTTGAACAAAAGCAGTCAGACACAAAAAAAATACACAGTATGAAACAATTTATATAAACTTCAAAAACAGGCAAAAGTAAGACATGGGACGAGAAATCAAAATAGTGGTTACCTTGGAAAAGGGCAATTGTAAGGTGGTATGGCAGCACATGCTGGGGAGCTTGTAACTTTCTATTTCTTGCTATGGGTACCTGTTATATATGTGCACTACTTTGAAAATTACTTAAGTTGTACATGTATGATTTGCACATATTCTGTATATGATATACTTCTTTGAAAGTTTATCTTTAAAAATTAGCTCCTTATACAAAAATTCAGAATCTAAATAAAAGAGAAAGTCACTTGCAATTCATGAGAAAATATCACAGCCTTTTGATGTATCTCCTTCTTTCTTACTCTGTATATATTTTATACAATTATACTGATATATCCTGAATAAATTTCTACATCATTGATAATTTAAAAAATAATTTTAAATGGTGGCTTTATATTCCATAGTATGAATGTCCACAGGTCACGTTACCTATTTTCAATTTTTGGACATTTATATTGGTTCTAATTTTTCACTTATTTGTTATATTACGTTGTTATCATGTGCCAAGTCGGCATTGACTCATAGTGACCCTATGCATAAAAGAACAAAACACTACCTGGTCCCACGCCAACCTCACAATCATTGTTAAGCTTGAGCCCATTGCTACTGCCACTGTGCCAATTTATCTCATTGGGGGTCTTCCTCTTTTTCTCCAACCCTCTATTTTACCAAGCATGATATCCTTCTTCAGGAACTGGTCCCTCCTGATAATATGTCCAAAATATGAGAGACGAAGTCTGGACATCCTGGCTTCCAAGAAGCATTCTGGCTGTACTTTTTCAACACAGATTTGTTTGTTCTTTTGGCAGCCCATGATACTTTAATAGTTTCTTCCACCACCAGAACTCAAATCCATCAATTCTTCTACAGTCCTCCTTATTCACTGTCCAACTTTCACATGCATATGGTTACTGAAAATATCATGGCTTGGATCAGGTGCACCTTAGTCCTCAAACTGACCTCTTTGCTCTTCAATAATTTAAAGAGGTCTGGTGCAGCAGATGTGCCTAATGCAATACATCATTGGATTTCTTGACTGCTTCTTCCACGAGTGTTGATGGTTGACTTGAGCAAAATGAAGTCTTTGACAATTTCAAGCTTTTCTCCATTTATATGGATGTTGTTTATTGGTCCCGTGGTGAGGATTTCTGTTTCTCTACATTGAGATGCAACCCATAGTAAAGACTGTGGTCTTTGATTTTCCTCAGTAAGTATTTAAAGTCCTCTTCACTTTCATCAAGCAAGATTGTACCATCTTCATATTGCAAGTTGTTAATAAGTCTTCCTCCAATCTTGATGCCACTTTTTTCTTCATATAATCCAGTTTCTCAGATATAATTCAGCTTCACGGATTATTTGCTCAGCATACAGGTTGAATAAGTATGGTAAAAAGAATATAGCCCTGATGCACACCTTTCCTAATTTTAAACCATTCAGTGTTCCCTCAAATGTAAAAATATCCCTGTACATCTCTGAATAATTCCTTTATAATTAGAATTCCTTATAATTAGAAAATTGGCTAAAGGCAGAGAACACCAGGAAGGTGTTTACTGACTATACAAAAGCTTTCAACTGTGTGGAACAAGACAAGCTACGGATAACATTGAAAAAAGGGGTATTCCTAGACCTCTTTAAAGCACTAGACTGGTAACTGCAAGGTTGGCAGTTCAAACCCACCAGCTGCTATCAGAAACCCGTAAAGTATTGAAGAGTAAAGATGTCAGTTTAAGAGTGTACCTGACCCAAGCCATGGTATTTTCAATAACTTCATATGCATGTGAAAGTTGGACAATGGATAAGGAAGAGCACAGAATTGATGCATTTGAGTTATGATGTTGGAGGAGAATATTAAAAGGACCATGGTCTGCCAGAAGAACAACCAATCTGTATTTGGAAAAGTACAATCAGAATGCTCCGTCTCTCATACTTCGAACATATTTTCAGGAGTGACCAGTCCCTGGAGAAGGACATGAGGCTTGGTAAACGACGGTCAACTAAAAACAGAAAGAGCCCAAGGAGCTGGATTGGCATAGTGGCCGTAGCAACAGGCTCAAGCGTAACAACTGTGAGGATATGGCGCAGGTCCAGGCAGTGTTTTGTTCCGTTATGCACAGGGCCCCTATGAGTTGCAACCAATTTGACAACACCTATCTACAACAACAACAGAATTACTGGGTCCAAGAACATTTTGGGGGCTCCTAATATGTGCTGTAAAGATGCCCAAAAAAGGTGTATTTGCTTACATTCCTAGAGAACAAGCAATGGTTTTTCTCCATTATCATCAAAAATACTAAAATCTGATAGATGACGGTTTAAAATTTGTACTCATTTTAATTTGCATCTCTCTCACCATTAATGTAGTTGAACCTTTTTCAGATGTTTTCTATCCATTACAATTTATTATTCCATGAATTGATTATTTATTGTTTCTATTGCTCATTTTCTTATTTGAATCGGTATATTCTTGAAAATGTGTACATTCAGAAAATATTTTCCTTACTTGTTGTGATTTTTAAAGTCTGATGTTTTTAAGATAAGGAGGGGGAGTGTTTTATTTTCACTTAATCAAATTTATTAATAATTTTTGTGATTTCTGAAACTGCTTCTACACCCAGTCCTTCGGTAAGACTGTTACTGTCATTGTGAAATTGCTGCCAAGTCAGTTCTGACTCATTGCAACCCTGTAGAGGATTTCTGAGGAGCGGCTGGTGAGTTTGAACCACTGACCTTGAGGTTCAAACCTGCCTTGTGGTCCAGTGCTTAACATTCAGCGCCATATCAGCTCCCCCTTCTACCTTTGGTGGACTCTCTCCCTCCCTATATTACCCAAGAAGAGTCAGCAACTGCTGCATTATGGTCAAGCTACAATCACACTCTATAAAACACCAAAACCCAGGTAAGTTCCTTGCCCAAGAGACATCAAGGCAAGTGGTTGGGTACCCTCAGTGTAAACCCCCTTCCAAGACTAAGACTCAATGGGAATACACGCTCTGATTTGTGACCACGTTTGTCACCGATAAGGGGAAGTGAGGGAAAAACAGCAATAAAGCTGCAAGATAAGCCTTACAACATTCAATAGAATCCTGTGAACCCGGTGGAGACCTGGTTGGTCAGCAGTGTGGCAAGACCTGGGGACTCTTGGGCACAGAGTCAGTGACATAGCCACAAAGGACTAGAGTGGAGAGTGAAGCATCCAGCTGATAAGAAGAGAGCGCATATGCACAAGAACACCCATACTTGCAGATAATAGCCACTTGACCTGGCTTCAATGACTGGATGATCAGAGCTCAACCAGAAGAAGAAAGAAGAGGAAAAAAAGAGTAATCTGATACAATCTGATGAACTTGACCTACACCCATGGATTCAGTAGCTCAAAAGAGGGAACAAATCTTTACAGCGAGGATCATTCCCACTTTTTCTGAAACTTCCTATTCTGAGTTTTTCAATTACATAGATTAAAGGGATAAGACTATACTGTTGCACAACCTTTTTTCTCTAACTTCAAAAAGTTCATGGAAAATGGAATTAGAAGATAATGAAATTTTCCCATGAAATTTTTGAAGCCCCCTCATATTAGTCTTCAGATAAGGAGCTTTGGTAGTGTAATGGTTAAGTACTCCGCTGCTAATCAGAAGGTTGGTGATTCAAATCCACCCAGCTGCACTGCAGGAGAAAGGCCTGGTAATCTGCTGCCATGAAGATTACAGCCACGAAACCCCGATAGGGCAATGAAATGACTATGAGTCAAAATTGACTTGACAACACCCCAAAACAATAACCTTTACTGATACCACAGTCATTTTAACAACTTCTTAGTTTCTTATCAAGCTAATAGGCCAAGAATTATTGTTAACTAGTCCCCAATTCTTAGATACTCAAGTTACTTCTAAAGTTTTGCTTATAAATAGAATGCTGCACAACAGTCCTGCATTTATGCAAGTATGTTTATGGAACAAACTCCTAGAAGCAGAAACAATGAGCCAAAGGATACTCATATTTGAAAATTCTCTGCTTCATCCCCACTAAAAAGAGCTAGTAGAGTCATCCGGAAACTAAATGTGCGCGCACACACACACACACACACACACACACACATCCCTACATGGAGTTTTAAGTACAGAACACATACTAATAAATAGTATCAAATGACTTTTTGACATCATTTACATCCAAGATAAGTAAACTGTAGCCGACAAACTAAATCCACATGGATACCTGGCTTTTTTTTGTATGTCCGTTTAGCTGGTGACACAGTCTGAGAGCTAAAGAATAAGAGTTTTTACATGAGGTTCTTTGTTGTTGTGTTTAATATTTTTAAATCATTGGGAGGGAAAGTCAAAAGAAAAATATTTTGTGATGTGAGAAATTCAAATTTCAGTATCCATAAAGTTTTACTGAAACACAACCAAGCCATCTGCATACATATTTTGGTGATTTCATGCTACAATAGCAGAGTTAAGTAGTTCTGACAAAGGCTGGGTGGCTTGCAAAGTCTAATTATTTGCTATCTGGCCCTTTACAGAAAAGGTTTGCAGCTTAGCTCCTCCAATCTAACAGTTCAATGTTTTAAAGAACAAGAAACCCAACCCTGCAAGCCGAGAGTAAAGAATAAACTGCCCTAAAGAAAAAGCTCTGGGGGTTGAGACCTCTTGGCTTTCTGTAATGAGGAAGCAAACTGTCCCACATTTCCATCATTACTGTGGTTGGGAAGCAACCACTGGCAGAGCAAGTAGGTACAGCAGTTCTGGCTGTAGGACTATCCACTTCACTGTACTCTTGATTTAAGCTTGTTTAATGCTAAATTCACTTTTAGCATTTAACTTTTGCTTTGTCACCAAATAGCTATAATTATAAAAAATTAAAAATCTATTTGCCATGGAATTGACTCTTGACTCACTGCAACCCTTAAGTGTCAAAGTAAAACAGTATTCCATAGGGTTTCCAATGGCTGATTTCTAAGACATCCATCCATCCAGGCCTTTCTTCCAAGGCACCTCTGGATGAACTCTCAGCAGCCAAATACATTAACAATTTGTACCACCCAGGGACTTCAGCTACACTGATAGTTGCCAAATACAAGGAGGCTTCAAAAAGTTCATGGAAAAACAGAATGAATAAACACTGGAATTTTTACATGAACTTTTTGAAGTCACCTCATATGAGTAATTTTTCACAGATGGAGAATGTATTCTTCTCAGTGTTTTCTGAGGCTACCCTCCATAGAGCAAAAAGAGAAAAGGAGACATAATAAACCGTAAATGGAGGGGAAACACACACACAAGTAAACAATGAGCTATTACTATGAAGCCTGGCCCTTCAATAATAACTAATTAATGCAAAAGTTGCAGGAATATTGATGCAATTTCATGGAAATGGGAACCAGAGGGCAAAATTCTTCACAGGAAGAAACTGAACAAAATTACCATAAGACATTAGGAATGGATGCTAATAACTTTAACTACTACCTTGAGGATGTGGTTCTATGATCACTACATCATCAGCAGAAATTGTGCTCTCAGAATCTTCTGTAATATCTGAATCTTCTGTAGTATCTGAATCTTCTATAACCACGACATCATCGTCATCATCATCTTCAATGACTATAACATCACAATCTAATAATAAGCAAAGGGAAAGTTTAGATAGAAAACTACAGTAAATAAAATTTCTAGTGAAAATTACTTTATAATGTTATGAATTTTTTAATGTATTTTACATGCAAATTTTTGTATTAATCCTGGTGTGGTGCTGTACAATACTGCTAACAGCAAAGTCAGTGGTTCAAACACACTAACCACTCCTTAGAAATGCTCTAAGGGTCACTATGAGTTGGAACTGATTCGACAGCACTTAACAACAACAAATCATTACAAGTTAGCTAAGCAATCAACTGTTTAGTATGAAGCTTTAAGATATACATACATACAGAAACACACACACTTATATATCTGCATGTTGGTGTGCAAATATGTATACACACATGCATACACACCTAAGAAGTCTAGCGCTGTGGGATAATGCACTGGACCGCAAGGTTGGTTTGAACTGCAAAGTTGGTGGTTCAAATTCACCAGCTGCTCCTCAGAAACCTTATACGGGTTGCTATGAGTCAGACTTGACTCAAAGGCACTTAACAACTACACATATATTATTTCTAGTACTTCCACTTTTATAGAACAGTTTTGTTAAATTTCTTCTTTTCAGAAATGTGTTCACCTGGCTGGCTCATGCCACCTGTTCTCTAAAATCTAGTATTAACTTTATGGTGATAATACAGAAATACAAGCAAGTCAATGTTATTACGAAACAAATTAGACTCAAAATGAATTTCACAGAACGTTAATTAGATTACCACAAAGAAACTAGATGTGAACTATTAACTTGGCAAACAATTCAATAAATATGAAAAATATATGGTATCTAAATAGATTTTGTTATAACTTAAGAAAAGAACAGGTATAAAAATCTTGCAGTAGAAACTCAAAGATTATGTTTACACTGCATCAGAATTTGGGATGCAATATATTTGTTTCAAAAAGACCAAAGCAGAGGAATAAAGCAATTGGCTAGCATGGGGAGCATGGAGTAGTATGAAAATTGTTCTAAATGAGCTATCAGAAAATGTAGCTTTCAATTCAGGCTCTGAGAACAGCTGAACCAAGATCAGGCCTGATAAATCTACTCTTTGGTCCATTTCCTTATCCAGTCTGCCCTAAAAGGGAGGGGGGTGGGAAATACCTTAAAAACACCTAATTAGCCAAGCAAAAGATGATTGGTTAAATAAATTATGGTATTTCCATAAAGTGGAATGCTATATAATCAATATGAAGTAACTTCTCAACACACATTTACTTATACAAGAAAATCTTGTGAAATAACTCTAAAGGAGGGAGTTATTCAAAGCAGAAAAACAAGTATAATCTTAATTCTGAGAGGGGAAGAAAACACATCAATGGTTACCTTAATGGTAAAATTATTTTCTAAATTACACTTCAATGTATTTGTTAGGTTCTCTACAATAAAGCTAAAGCTTTCTAATCAGAGAAAAACAACAAAGGAAATGGAATTTTACTTTTAAGACAAGTTTCTGCACATCAAAAGATTTTTCACATTAGAACTCAGTAAAGCTCTGGTAGCGTAGTGGTTACGAGTTGGGCTGCAAACCTTGAAGTCTGGGCTGCAAACCTTGAAGTCAGAGGTTCAAAACCGCTCCACGGGAGAAAGATGAGGCTTTTCTACTCCTGTAAAGATTTACACCCTAGGAAACCCTGTACAGGGTCGCTATGGACAACGTACATTTCTAAAACACCAGTTAATTCCTTTAGATATACTTATATTTTATAATCAATTTTTTAAAGACAAATTTTATTTGTTTTAATATTCTAATTTTCTGCACCCAAGTCGCAAAGCATTCATTTGCCATCAACATACCAGGTACGGCTTAGCTAACAGTTTCACATTTGGTGCTTGTCTCTATCAAAATCATGTTTTAAAATTTTTTTAAAAAGAGAGAACTGTTAATATACTGAACATTTTTAATCTCCTGGCAGAACTGTTAAAAACCTCTGTACATTTCAAACTTTAGAGACGAGAAGTTGCTAGATGGCAGGACATTTCTTCAACATTCTCTCCCATCGTCGCCCAGCACCGACCTTCCTTCCTAAAGCACCCATGGAGCACCGGCCTCCTCGCCTCACCCCCGGGAAGCCTGTACAACCACACAACCCGGCGGCATGACCAGTCAGCTCCGACCCACCCGACGCACTCGCCCTCAACGCATCCCAATCCGCATCAGCGCCACCTTGAGCATCGCCGGCTTAGACGGTTCCAAGGACTGGAGCTCGAAAACAGTTCCCGGGCCGCTCAGCCTGGGTCCCCCGCCACCCTGGGGGCGCCCCACACCAGAAGCCAGGCCTGGTCAGACGCCCGGTTCCCACGCGCCACTATCCCGCCATTCCGCGCACAGCCGTCCAAGACGGGGCAGTACAAACCCTGCCAAAACCCGGCCCAAGTCTAAGGGGAACCCGCTCAGCCTGGGATCCCCGCCACCCTGGGGGCGCCCCACACCAGAAGCAAGGCCTGATCAGAAGCTGGGTTCCCACACGCTACTATCCCGCCATCCCGTGGACGCCTCACAGCCGTCTAAGACGGGGCAGTACAAACCCTGCCAAAATGCTGCCCAAGTCTAAGGAGAACCCTTACCGTTGTTCACATTAGACATGGTGAAGCCTGACTCGCGGTATCAGCCTCTGCCCGCTAAGAATCGGATACTAGGCTCGACGACGACAACTAACGAATGAGGCGCTGAAAGGCTGCTGCGCAAAAATATCTGGTTAATCCAAGACTTTGCGCCTGCGCAGACTCGTGCAGCACGCGCACAGCTCCACTGGCACGCAGGGTCGACGTCAGATGAAGCACGAGGACGCCCCTATTTTCTCTCTAAACATCTGGAGAAAGATGAGGTTGTCTGCTCGCTTAAAGATTTTCAATCTGGGAAGCAGTGTATAGGGTAGCTGTGAGTCAGAATCGACTCAATGGCAGTGGGTTTGGGTATATTTAAAGAGACTTTTTAAAAACTGTAAACTCGTAGCCTACAGTACCATTCCGCCCATCCCAAAATGCTCACCACACAGAGCGTGTCGTTAAAAATAATACAAAAGTCTATAATGTCAGACAGTTGAGCTCATGTTTTCCAGGATGGTATACTTAGGTTCAAGGACCTCTGGTAGTGTAGTGGTTTAGATGGTTTAGATAGTAGCAAGTTGGGCTGCTAACCTTAAATACCAGCTGTTCGGCGGGAGAAAGATGAGGCTTTCTGCTCCCATAAAGATTTACAGCCTCGGAAATCCGACTCCACGGCACACCACCACCACCAACATAGTCAAGTTCATTGCCAGCTTTGAGAACAAATGGGAAAGAAACCGGCTTTTGAAAATACCCCCTAATTGTTAACGATAAGCGTTGGACTGCGAACCACAAGTTCTGCGGTTCGAGCCCGCCAGCCAATCCGCAGGATACTACCAGGCTTTCTACTCCCATAAATATTTAAAGCTTTAGGATTTCCAAGGAGAGGCTGGTGGGTCTGAACCAACGATCTTGCAGTTCACAGTCCAGTACTTATCCTAGAGCACCACACCAAGACTCCATCTCCCTAATGTTGTTGTTGTTAATAAATGCCTCAAGTCGATTCCAACTCATAGTGACCCTATATAGAGCTTCAGAGTCTATAAATCTTTGTGGGAGCAGAAAGCCTCATCTTTCTCCTGCTGGGCTGCTGGTGGGCTTGGACTGCTGACCTTGTGATTTTCAATCCAATGCTTATCCTACAGAGTCACTGAACTCTGTGGTTGTGTGTCATGGAGTCACTTCTGACTCATAGCGACTCTGTATAGGGCTTCCTAGGCTGCAAATCTTTAGGGAAGCAGAAAGCCTCATCTTTGTTCTACAGTACAGCTGGTACTTTCGAACTACTGACCTTGAGGTTAGCAGTCTGACTTGCTACTATCTAAACCACTACGTTACCAGAGCTCCTTATAATGGCCTCTGAATCTTTCCATTACCCGGTCATTCAGCTACACTGCTCTAAGAATTTTCTAAACAGCCTTGCACTTCGTTCCTCCATAAAATATTACCTATGACCTTATTTAATCCTCAGACCCAGAAGAAGTCAGTATTATTGTACCATTTTAAAGATGAGAAAACTGAAGTTTACAGAGTTTAATCCAATTACACAAAACTTGAAAATTAGTGGCAGTTAGAGCACCCTAATCTACAGCACTTAACAATAATAACAATCTGCCTCCCTCATATATGAGCAAAAAAGAGGGTAAGTCCAAAAGTATTGCTATGAAAATATATACATTTTTAAAGTTATTTTTTATGGATAGGTCATCCATCTAAGTCTATACACTCCTGAAAGCTTAATTTCCATCTCTTTAACCTTTCCCCAAAGAATTCTACACTCTTCAGTTCACACCACTTCAAAACAGCAATTTTGGCAACCTCAAGGAACTCAACTCATGTTCCTTTTACATTTTCTGTGATTTGGGGGAACAAAAAGAAGTTTGAAGGGGCGAGATCAGCGTTATAGGGTGGATAGAGTGAGGTTTCCCAACAAAATTTTCATGGGACAGCCCTTGCCACCCTTGCAGAATGAACAACTATATTATCATAATGGGGTGGAAAATTCCTAGGTGCAACTTCCCTGGCCTTTTTCTCACCAATGCAGTTTTCCATTCTGTTAAAACTTCTTCCCAGTAAGCCCCCATGATTTTCCTGTGTCCTTTAAGAAAATCTGTGAAAATTACCCTTTTGGAATCCAGAAAAACAGCCGACATACTTACTAAGCTGACCTTTCTGCCTTAAATTGAATTGGCCCAGCAGATCCCCTCTGAAGTCACTATTTTTGAATGGGTCTTTTTTAGAAGGCTTAACAAACTAAAACAAGTGTATAACTGAGAGAACTTGTCTGCAGCCATCCACTGGTTGCAGAGACATATTTAAACATATCTTGTTTGGAATACACCAGTGCATGTTTGAACTGGAACCCTTGTAGCAGTACTTTTTGACTTACTCTCATATCCCCTATCATTCTACCTGTGGCTCAACACTGTTGTTAAGTGCCGTCGAGTCAATTCTGACTCATAGTGACCCTGTTATATCTGTTCTAATAATTCTACACCCCGTCTTGTAAAAATGTTGTTGTTGTTGTTAAGTGCCGTCGAGTCGGTTCCGACCCATAGCGACCCTGTACAGGGTTTCCGAGGGTGTAAATCTTTACGGGAGTTGAAAGCCTCATCTTTCTCCCGCGGAGCGGCTGGTAGTTTCGAACTGCTGACCTTAAGGTTCACAGCCCGATTCGTAACCACTATGCTACAGAATCCTGGTGTGGCACTGTGGGTTAATGCACCAGACTGCAAAGTCATTTGAACTGCAAGGTCGGCAGTTCAAGCTCATCAGTTGCTCCTTGGAAACCCTATACAGGGTCACTATGGGGTCAGAACCAACTCGACAGTGCTTCACAAAAACAATAGTAGTACAGCCTCAGAAACCCTGTGCAGGGTCGCTATGAGTCAGAACCGACTCCACAGCACATAACCACCACCACCACCATGGTAGGTTACTTTCATCTCATTTGAGCGCTTAGAGCTGGGCCATGTCTTTTTTTTTTTTTTAATAGTACCTCTTTCACAGGTTTCACAGGAATTAAGTGTTATAAAATATATGAGC